TCTATGAGCTCATTCTGTTCAAACTGCTAGTCAGACAGTCATATACGAAGTGTAATGTGAGCAGTCACCGTGGCTTCTCCTGCCCATTCACGCCTCCCAGTCCTAGACCAAGAGCCCATCAGCTCCTTTTACAGGATGTAGAGTATACACAGCAGCCATCTTTGAAGTGGCCAGCTCCTGTGTAAATAACTTGTGACTCTGTAGAAGTGGAATTACTAGTCTAAATGCAAGGTCTGATTTATCCAGGAAGTACATACCAAGTGGTCACCTCCTATGTAAATGACTTGTGACTCTGTAGAAGTGGAATTACTAGTCTAACTCTATATGCATGGTCTGGTCTGGTCTATCCAGAAAGGGTGCACTGTACCAGGGCTCCTACCTCTATGGTATAGACGTATTCAAGTCATAGATGTCTATAGGACGGATGAAAGTGTAGGTGCAATCCAACTGCTGAAAATCACTAATCTGTGTATTCTTAAAAGCTATATTCTGGGCACAAAAACATTAATTGAAATATTTTCATTAGTAGCCACAAAGGATATAAAACTACTTTCTTTACACCAAACACCTTGGAATTATCACTGTGCATCATCATCATCATAGACTTTTAGGGATGAGCTCAGGTTCAGACCGAACCCGAGAGGATCTCCTCTGGAACCTTTTGTGATGCCCAATCAGCTGTGGGCAGGGAATTCCCCACCCGCAGCTTTACGTAAGCAAAGCATTGACATCATTGAACTCATATGGCTACATGGTAAATGGCATTTGCCTAAAGTGGCTATGTGGCCATATAAGGTGATTGAGGTCAGCACAAGCATCCCGCTCCTTTGTTTACATGCAGCTGTAGGGTGAGGAATGCCTCAGCCCGCCGCTGGTTGGGTTGAAGTGCCCATGGCACTTCCTTGTTTGGAAGAGCTCAGGTTTGACCAAGCTCATCCCTATAGACCAGCGGTCGCCAACCAGTGGTCCACGAGAAAATTTTGGTGGTCCCCGGGCCACTCTGATGCCATGCAGGCTGGGCAGTCATTGAAGCGGCACGGAGGTTCCGGGGCTGCCTCTCACTGACTCAAGCAGCGGCTGTCACAAGGAATGCGTGGCTCTCAGTACAGTGCGGGCTCTACAGGAGGCGGGGCATCTCGTCAGTACCCAGACTGAGCAGGCTGCGGGACATAAAAAAAGTGGGGAGGAACCAGGTAATAGTGGCTCAGTTTAGGGGAAGGGGAGGCACGGGGGTGGTTGGGGGCAGTGCTGAAGCTATGGGGGGCATGTGTCCCAGGCAGGGAGAGTGGCAGATTCGATAGGGGGGGAAACAATTAATATTATTACTGGGCCGGGGCGGGCGGCACCGCTCCCTTCACCAGGCACACTCCCTTCACCAGGCACGCTCCTGCAGGCACACCTGCACCTATGTATGTATTTGTATATATACTGTATGTATATATAGATATATTCTCATATTTTTTGTTTCCTCATATATAAATATATTCTCAAATGTGTGTGTGTGTGTGTATATATAGAAAAAAATCATATTAGTGGTCCGCGGGATTTAAAATTATGAATTTAGTGGTCCATGAGCTCCGAAAGGTTGGCGACCGCTGCAATATAGACTATGCAGATAGACTATGTAAAGAAGCCACTGCTCCAAACTCGCTCCCGTGATGGACTACAATCTCACCTTTAGTTTACTAATTTGTACTGACATTATAGTCATAATGGGAGCGAGCTTGGAGCGGTGGCTACTTTACAACACCCACAGGGACCATGGCGAACAAAAGTAGCCACCCCCCAGAAGGAAGGACAGTGTCAGCACCAATTCAGAGATGATTTGAGGATCTACAGCTGAGTGATACACAAATAAGACACATTTTTGTTACTAGTTAAGGCACTTGAATGCATTTTTAAGATTTATCTCCAGAGTTTAGTGTCACTTTAAGTATTGAATATAAGATGATTTCATGTCACCATGAGAACTGAACGTTGATATGATTTTTAGTGAAAGGTGGTAAAGGTCCACTTTAAGATCTTTTCATGAACATGCATGCTGGAATCTCCTGAATGCTTATAGAAAGGAGAAATAGGAACAAGAAAAAAAGCCTGAAACTTTATTATTATTACATAGGATTTATATAGCACCAACAGTTTGTGCAGCGCTTTACAATATAAGGAAGACATTACAAATACAATACAATTCAAGACAAGATGGTAAGGAGGGCCCTGCCCCTGAGGGCTTACAATCTAAAAGGGAGGGAGAAGTGATACATGAGGAGGTAGCTGTGTGGGGATGAATTGTTTCCCCAGAGTTTCCCCTCTGTTTCCCCAGAGTTGTGGATGGCTTTATAAGTGACTGTTAATATTTGGAATTTTATCCTCTGGGCGAGTGGAAGCCAGTGGAGGGATTGGCAGAGGGGGGTTGCAGACACTGAGCGGTTGGTTAGGTGAATGAGTCTAGCAGCTGTATTCATGATAGACTGAAGGGGGGATATCCTGTGTAGTGGAAGGCCAATGAGGAGGGAGTCAAGACGAGATATAATAAGGGAGTGGATGAGTCATTTTGAGGTCTCATTGGTGAGGAAGGGTCGTATTTTGGAGATGTTACGAAGGTGAAGGCGGCAGGATTTGGATAGTGATTGGATGTGGGGAAGAAATGTGAGGTCCGTGTCAAGGATGACACCTAGGACCTTGGCATGGGAGGAGGGTTGGATAGTTGTGTTATTAATCTCAACCGAAATGTTGGGGGAAGGTGTATGGGCGGGAGGAAATATCATGAGCTCGGTTTTTGAAAGATTGAGTTTTAGGAAGTGTTGTGACATCCAGACGGATATGTCAGTTAATAGATTAGTGACACGCAAGGACACTGAGGGGGTGAGATGTGGAAAGATAAATTTGAGTGTCATCGGCATAGAGATGGTATTGGAAGCCATGTGAGGTTATTAGTTGACCAAGAGAGGAGGTGTAGATAGAGAAGAGAAGGGGTCCAAGGACAGAGCCTTGGGGGACCCCTGCAGAAAGAGGAAGAGGAGGGGAGGAGTTAGATTTGTAGGTGACACTAAAGGAGCGCTTAGACAGTTAGGAGGAGAACCATGAGAGGGCAGAGTCTTGTAGGCCAAGCGAGTGGAGTTTTTTTGAGGAGCAGCGGGTGGTCAACAGTGTCAAAAGCAGCAGAAAGGTCTAATAGCAAGAGTAAGAAATAGTAGTAGCCGTTGTTTGTAGCAGTGAATAGGTCATTGGTGAGTTTTAGGTGGGCTGTTTCAGTGGAGTGTAGGGGGCGAAAGCTGGACTAAAACGGGTCCAAAAGGTTGTTATTAGTGAGGTGGCGACTCAGGCAGTTGTAGATAAGGCGTTCTAGTAGTTTAGAGTTGAATGGGAGTAAGGAGATAGTTCTGAAATTATTGAGATTGGTAGGGACCAGTGAGGGTTTTTCGGGTATTGGGGGGACTTGTGCATGTTTCAGAGGGGAAGGAAAGATGCCCGTAGAGAGTGAACGATTGAAAATGTGAGTAAGAGAGTGTAGGATAGAGCAAGAGGGTGTCCGAAGTAGTTTTGAGGGAACAGGGTATAGGGGGCAAGTGGTGAGGTGGGTGTCAGAGAGAAGCTTTGTAACCTACTCTGTGGTGACAGAGTCAGAAGAGGAAAGTAACAAGTGTGATGGTGGGTCTGGTACATTAATAGGGGAAGTTGATTGGACAGTGGTGATCTGATCCCGAATTGTATCTATTTTGTTTCTGAAATGAATGGCAATGTTCTTGGCAGTGAGTGAGTTAGCGGGTGGTGGCGGTGAAACCAGCTTTATCTATAACATGGATTCAGCATGAGAAATCTCCCTTTCCTCTGAAAATGGTCCTCTAAGGATGTCTGAGGCAGTCTGCTGATGCCCACAGCTATGAAGACTTTCAAGATGTCATGTTTTGTGGTCTATTCACTGAATGATCTAGGCTCCATTGACAAGGGATGATCTGGGATCCCTGCAGCAAGAAGCTATGAATTGCTGCGGCAGAAATCCCAGGTGTCCCTGTTCAAATGCGGCCTCAGTACCCTATGAAGGTAATGACAGGGTGACAGCGGCCACATCTGTCAGCAGCAGCCCATGTGTAACCGCACATGGTATGATTACATGCAGTTTAAAATAGACGATTGTCACTGGACGCATGTATCCCATCAATAAAAAAAAATCTGCTTTTTTATATTACAAAGGGGGAAGGTTGCAGTGGGGACAAGTTTGTTAAGGCCTGGTACACACTTTGGCGTTCTGTTGAAGCACGCCAAAAGTGTGTCATGTTTGTACCATGGTGTGTGTTCAAAATTTCCATTAGCAGTTTTACTTGTTAATGGCACCCCACACGCAAATGGGAAAAGCGCATCAAATGTGCACAAACAGTGGTCACAAAAACGTGGGAAGCTTCTAGCTGAAAGTGTTGCATGAGCTCCTTTGCCGCGTTTGTTGTGCATGCAGCAGCTCATTGCAATAAATAGGATGAAGCACGGAAACTGCGTCAAAAACGCTCACGAACGCGTGTCCATGTACTGCCAAGTGTGAACCAGGCCTTAAGGATATGAGAAGGCATTCTGTAATCCACATCAGGTGCGAGCAGCCTATGGTGACAACGTTGCTCCTCAACAGATACAGTACATTGAGCGTTGTCACCCTACAACAAGACGTGTTATACTGGCAGGATCACCAGGTTAAAATGAATGAAAAAAAAATAATGCAGCCAACACAACTGAGCTCTGGTTAGCTGTAATATATTACAGTATTGGTATTGGTCTTGGGTTTAGATTCACTTTTATTTTCACTGCAGGTGCTTATAGCTTGCATTAGAATTTAAAAAATAAAATAAAATTATATATATAATTTTTTTTAATACGTTGTTTACACCTAGAGACGAATTCTGCCCTCCAGCTTAGCATGCAGCCTTTGCATTATACGGCGAAAAAAAACCCCCACATTTGCCCTTAGCAAAGATGGCGCCGGCTGTATCCCCGCCCCCCTGTATCGTGAGCGCGCCTGCCAGACTGAGCGAGCTTGTAGCTGGAGGCGGCCAGGAGGGAGCGGGCTGGAGCTCCAGCGGAGGAGCGTTCATTGTTGACCATATATAGTCATAGGCACAGGGAGACATCGCAGCTGTGAGCTCGGCTTTGGCTTCCGGGTTTGAATTGCGGGGCGGCTGATAGAGAGCTGGCAGTACTGACACTGTGCGGACCGGGCTCAGCACGCAGGAAAGATGCCTTACGAAAGCAGTAAGTGAGCCGGAGATGGAGCTGGGGATACAGGACACCCCACTGACATGTACTGGGGGGGGGAGGCCTGGCTGTCAGTCAGTCAGTCACACGTCAGTCAGTCACACGTCAGTCAGCTGTGGTCGGCCACTTCCACACCCTGCCCCAGGCTTTGCCAACCTGATTGATTTCCTGCTGGGGAACTACAAGTCCCAGGATACAGTGCATTGAGAGCTGTGTTCTGCACAGGCTGGAGAGCCACAGGTTGCCTGGCCTCATTCATTCCTGGATCCTGCCTGGCACCGCTCATACATTGCTGTGTGCAGAATCCCAGATCATGTGCTGGTGCTTCATAGGCTGCTTGAACATGCTGGGGCTTGTATGTTCTCCAGCAGAGGGCTTGTATGTTCTCCAGCAGAGCACCTTCATGTGCTGGGGCTTGTATGTTCTCCAACAGCAGAGGACCGTCATGTGCTGGGGTGTGTATGTTCTCCAGCGGCAGAGGACCTACATGTGCTGGGGCTTGTATGTTCTCCAGCGGCAGAGGACCTACATGTCCAGGGGCTTGTATGTTCTCCAGCGGCAGAGGACCTACATGTCCAGGGGTTTGTATTTTCTCCAGCGGCAGAGGACCTACATGTCCAGGGGTTTGTATGTTCTCCAGCGGCAGAGGACCTACATGTCCAGGGGTTTGTATGTTAACCAGCGGCAGAGGACCTACATGTCCAGGGGTTTGTATGTTCTACAGCGGCAGAGGACCTACATGTGCTGGGGCTTGTATGTTTATCAGTGGCAGAGGATTTACATGTCCTGGGGCCTGTTTGCTCTCCAGCGGCAGGGGACCTTTATGTGCAGGGACTTGTGTGTTGTCCAGCGGCAGGGGACCTTTATGTGCAGGGACTTGTGTGTTGTCCAGCGGCAGGGGACCTTTATGTGCAGGGACTTGTGTGTTGTCCAGCGGCAGGGGACCTTTATGTGCAGGGACTTGTGTGTTCTCCAGCGGCAGAGAACCCACATGTCCTGCATCTTCTACAGTGGCATTGGACCTACTTGCGCTGTTAATGTTTTTAACACGTTTTGAGACACATTTCATGGCAATATGTGATTCCACTTGTCCTCATGGCTGCCTGTGAGGATGACTGCCACCTCCACAGCTCCCAGTTTTATGCCAGGAATGGTTTGTGCAGCTCACACTTATGGCAAGCAGACATAGAGGCCCATTCATTGTAGACTGGAGCCGTGTGCATGCATTGGGTGATGTCTTGCATTGTAAACAACATTCTCTGTAGCAGAAAGCTTCCAGCAAGCTAGTATATTGCTGTTATATGAGCCCGCATGCCACAAGTTATACTAGCAACCCATCCACAGAGGTATTTATTAGGTAAATGACAAATACGTGGTCGGGACAATCGTGTTATCGGTGATGGGACACGTATGAGATTTTCTGGTCCTGTTGAATGATTTGTTGGTATGCCGGCAGCATTTCCTTGCATGCAGCACCCCCTGCTCGGTTCAGTCAGCTCTGCTAAGCAATGTATGTGCCTTGCATCTATAAATATTCCATGCAGGGCTACAAATGCTGTGTGTTTTATAGGAAGCAACCTCGCCCTGTTTCTCCACACCCGTCTGCTGCAGTGCTGCCCCTGCACTGATTACACACACCGGCTCACTTGTCATTTAGTTTTACTTCCTTCAGCCCGTTGCAGCGTTGTATTCCCTCCCATTACACGTCTGGAGGCGATGGTTTCTGATCCACACCCTGCACCTCTTATCGACCTCACACTTTATTATAGGGCTCATGTGACTGGTGAAATGTCTTCTGCACTCAGATCTTTGTTATTGTAGAACAATAGTCCTAATTGCTTGTATTCTTGTGTTTTGGGCTGAGCATTATAGGGTGCAGCTATGAAGTTAGGGAAATGTCATTCATTCATTGAGACCCCATTCACACTGAGCGTTTTGTAGCGCGATTTCTGGAATGTTTCGTGAATGTAGCTCTTCCAATGCATTTCAATGGAGACGTTCACATCTCACAGCTCAATGTGGCCTGTAGCTTGTAGCTCATGCTTGTCGCTGGAACATGACCTATTTTTTGGCGGATTTTGTGCGATTTGGCCTAATAGACTTCAATGGTGTAGCTCAATGTAACACTTACCAGCGATATTGCGCTACAGAAGTGTCACTTTTGCACAGTAATATAAGCAAGAAGAGGAATTGTGTCACATCAAGACCGCTTTTGATTGGATACAGCTCAACGTAGCAGCTACGAAGTTCATGCCAAAAGTAGCGATACGTAGCGTGACAAAATGTGCACTGTAGCTCAATGTCTCTCAAAGGCACTCAAATATGTGCTGAAAAAGCTTTTCTTTGATGTAGTGTGAATGGGGTGTTATTTCCTTCTTCTGGGATAGGTAAACATGGTAACAATCTGAGACTTTGAGGATCATTTATGGAACTTAAGTCCTGTCACATGGGTGTTCTGTCAGCCCCTTTTTCTTGACCCCCCTGACTAGACGCTTCCAAAATGCAATGTATCCCAGTGGGCGGCTGGATGTAAATGGATGCACATCTGTTCTGTATGCAGGTCCGTACAGGTTTGTCGGAACAAACGCACTAAGTTTACGACCAGGTCCGTGTTTATAGGTTTCAGCAGATGTATACTGATATAAACGGATGCATGTACATTTACATCCTGATCTGTTCTTGTGCCTCAGGCCAAATACGTTTGCATCTGTGTCCGCTTTTGTGGACTTGAATGGATGTAAGTGACTATGAATGAACATGCATCATATTCAGGTGCATTGGACCGAACGCAATAAGTTTGCATGCAAGTCTGCTTTTACAGACTTGAACAGATATAAATGGACCTACATCCAGGTCTGTTCATACCGGACGCAATAAGTTTACGACCAGGTCTATACGTGTATACATGCTCATAGTGCACAGCCCAGCGACTTTGTATCCTGATCTGTAGTTGAAATATAATGGCCGTAGCATGCTTGCTGTGGACAAGATCTTCAGTTTCCTTGCATGTGTTTATTTATTTTTCCTCTAAACAAGCTTGTGTTGTCCTACTTTAACAGACCATTATGTGTGGACAGATATGGAATCTCTCCAGTAAGATCCAGTCAGCACGTCCATTGTATGTATGGACAGATATGGAATCTCTCCAGTAAGTTCCGGGCACCACGTCCATTGTATGTATGGAGAGATATGGAATCTCTCCAGTAAGTTCCGGACACCACGTCCATTGTATGTATGGACAGATATGGAATCTCTCCAGTAAGCTCCAGTCAGCACGTCCATTGTATGTATGGAGAGATATGGAATCTCTCCAGTAAGATCCAGTCAGCATGTCCATTGTATGTATGGAGAGATATGGAATCTCTCCAGTAAGATCCAGTCAGCACGTCCATTGTATGTATGGACAGATATGGAATATCTCCGGTAAGATCCGGGCACCACATCCATTGTATGTATGGACAGATAATGGATCTTTCTAGTAAGATCTGGGCACCTTGCCCAATCGGGTCATTCCTAGTAACATGCCTTTAATGTATACTTGCTAGAGCGCTGCCATTCCTGCCCATAATACTAGTCGCCTGGCTGTGTCTGGCCGCAGTCCTTGTCATAAATCTGGAAGCTGCATTGACATTTCTTATCTGTGTACTTCTTCTGGTCAGTGATTCACAAAGCTTTGCAGACAGAACATTAGCATGTTAGACCAGTTCCCCTATTAGAAAGTCATAAACAATAAAACCTACATATTTATCTCATGACTAGTTGAGGTAAAAGTGGGAGTGGAGTAGACCATGACACAAGAAAAAGCCGGCTAGCTAAAAATGTGCTTGAGCTGAGCTCCACTAACGAGCATATTCTGCTGCAACCTCCCCTTCCCTGCTGATTCCTTTCCTTATTCACTCACATGATCTATAAAGCCGGCACCATCTTGGCTTCCTCTTCTCTGAGGAATTGTATAGTCTACTGATATCACACATTCCTTAAAGCCGAACTCTGGGCAAATCAAATCTGAATATATTCCTCAATAGCCAGAAACAGTACAAATCAACTTTGTGTGCCAAATGCCTTTGGAGACCTAGATATGACATTGTCCTTGTGCTGTACATAACCTGCGCAGAGCTTTGGGAGGGACCCACTAGGCCTCATCCTATACAGATTGCATGTAGAAAACCGGGAGGGGCAGAAACCTGACCAGTCACCCTGCACAAGGAGAGCTACAGGGACTGGTCTGTATTAAAATAAACACTTTCAGAAAGTGTCGCGCAAGATTCCTGCGCAGATCTGGAAGAAATGCACAGAGCTCCCCAAGATTGAAGAATACACATGACTCTTGTATTTGGAAAATATTTGCTTATCCCAGAGTTCAGCTTTAATGCTGTGCTTGCAGTGCAATGGAATTCTTGCCTCATGTCTGTGTCACCCCGACATTGGGAATTCCAAGGTATGGCATGTGTAAGATGCTGAGCTTCCAGCTGCTGGACGTGTGTGTACAAGTAAGGGATCCAGAAAGATCACAAGGGTAAAGAATGCTTCTGCATTTCTTCACAGAAAAAAAGCTGAATCAGTAAGTAATAGGATGCTACTGCTGTATTCATGGCACAATAGCTCTGAGCTTACAGTTTTACTGCCTTTGTGTAACTTGTGCGCATAGCAAGTACAATTCATGGATCTTATTACTGATGATGGGTAGATGAGAACATTACAGCTTCAGCATCCACATCACAGTGAACTGGATAAACAGTAATAGGGGGCGGCATGATGGATGCAGGCCTGTGCAGCTCTTTATTTTCAGATATGCTAAAAAGCTAAGATTGTCATTAGGGATGTACAGATACCAGTTTTTCGGTGTCGCTGATGAGTACCGATAATTTTTTTTCAGTTAGTTGCCGATACCGAAAGTCCCATTAAGGAAGCCGGTCGGCCTGTAAATGACTCGCCACCCGGCTTCCCGATGGAGACCAGCTTTCTGGCTAATCAGGAAGGGCGGGTAATGACTCGCCGCCTGGCTTCCTGATTGGTCAGGAAGCCGGATGCGATGCTGATACTGAGCATTTGGGCGAGTACTCGTACTCGCCAAAATGCTCCCGATCCCTAGCCCGATACGGGAACTTCGGGTATCAGGAAGCTGGGCAGCGGGTCATTACACGCTGCCCGGCTTTCTTATTGGCCGGGAAGCCAGCTCAATGCTCCCTCGTCACCAGGGAGCATGAAGCCGGCTTTCTGGCCAATCAGGAAGGCAGGGGGTGGGTAATGACTCGCTTTCTGATGGTTGGAAAGGTGGCTCCATACTCCCTCGTCACTTGGTGATGAGGGAGCATGGAGCCGGCTTCCCGGCCAATCAGGAAGCCGGGCGGCGCGTTATTACCTGCCCCCCTCCCCCCCCGTGGCTTCCTGATTGACCAAAAAACGGCTTCATGCTCCCTGGTGACGATGGAGCATGGAGCTGGCTTCCTGCCAATCAGAAAGCTGGGCAGATTGTAATGACTCACTGCCCGGCTTCCTGATACCAGAAGTTCCTTAACCCCATTAAGAATCTTTGGGATGTGCTGGAGGAGACTTTACACAGTTGTCTGACTCTCCCATTATCACTACAAGATCTTGGTGAAAAATTAATGCAACTCTGGATGGATGTAAATGTTGTGACATTGCATAAACGTATCGAAATGATGCTGCTGTGAATGTGTGCCGCAATCAAAGCTAAAGGTGGCCCAATGGAATATTAGAGCGTGTGACTTTTAATTTTTTTTTTTTTTTTATTAGAGAAGTTTTCCAGCCTTGAGCGGATTTGTTCCACAACTGTTCAGTTATCGTTCGAAAGACCATTCGTGGAAGATTTCCAAATGCAGATCAAAGAGTGTATGGGCACCTTGTGTTGTAACCGCTCACGGGCAAGGCCCTCCTTACCCTCTTGCTTGATTTGTATTGTAACTGTAATGTCTTCCTTATATTGTAAAGTGCTGCGCAAACTTTTGGCGCTATATAAATCCTGTATAATGATAATATAATAATAAATCTCCCTAACGGGACACAGAATGCAAAAAATAAATATACCCCAAATGAGGCAGGCCAGATGCACTGCAGTGAACTAAGCATCTGCTGCGTGTAGGGCATCCCAAAATGAATGGGCTGCCCTATGCTGACGTGCAAGAAATGTGGCAAAATGCACCACAAGTTTACCTGTATGTTTTGTGTGAATGGGGGGCTAAAGTTTGATCTGCTTTTATTTTACCTTCCCTGGTTTCTCCTATTCCCCTCGTGAACATTATGCAATTATAAAAAAAAAAAAACCTTTCTATTTTCATCACATAACTTATTTTAGAACCAGTGAAATCATCACAGAGTGTCTATACAATGCAGGCAGATCATGGCTGGTGGCGGGGGCCAGTGGGGTGCTGGACCACATATGATGCTGAGCGCCTTAAAGAACTGAAATCCAAAGAAAGAAAGGGGGGTCACTATCTAATGCACATTGTAAGAAGTAGGGATGCACCGATACTAGTATCTGTGCCGATGCTGAGTATTTGGGCAAGTACTCGTAGTCTCTCCTAAATGCTCCGATGCCTAGCCCCATACTTCTGATATCAGGAAGCCGGGCAGCGCGTCATTACATGCTGCCCGGCTCCATGCTCTCTCGTCACTTGTGACGAGAGAGCATGGAGCCGGGCAGCATGTAATGACGCGCTGCCCGGCTTCCTGATTGGCCAGATTCCAGCCAATCAGGAAGCCGGGCAGCGCGTCATTACATGCTGCCCGGCTCCATGCTCTCTCGTCACTTGTGACGAGAGAGCATGGAGCCGGGCAGCATGTAATGACGCGCTGCCCGGCTTCCTGATTGGCCAGATTCCAGCCAATCAGGAAGCCGGGCAACGCGTCATTACACGCTGCCCGGCTTCCCAATTGGCCGGGGAGCCGGCTCCATGCTTTCTTGTTGCCTAGTGATGAGAAGCATGGGGACGGCTTCCCTGCTAATCGCGGAAGCCGGGTGGTGAGTCTTTACATGCCGCCTGGCTTCCTGAATGGTACTTCCGTTATTCGGTATCAGCGAGTACTGAAAAACAAATATCGGTACTTGATACCGAAATACCGGTATCAGTACATCCCTAATAAAAAGCTCACAAGTGGCCTTTTTTTTAGCAGTGAGTAAATAAATTCAGTACAGGAGAGGAGCCGGTACATCTGTACAAGACTGAAGGGAAGGCCAGAGTTCAGCTTTAGGATTCTGGATTGTATTCCCCACACTTGTATGTCCACTAATTTAGCATTGTAACTGAAGAAAGAGATGTATAGTGAACATTGAATGCATGATTCATATTTTAATGGACCATTCTTGTTTTTTCCTTCTTCGCAGAAAGTGTGTTTGCCAGCCTTCCTCAGATGGAAAGAGGAGTGGCAAAAGTTCTGGGCGGGGACCCGAAGGGCAAGAACTTTCTGTACACGAATGGGAAATGTGTTATCATCCGGAATATTGAGGTAAGGCGTCACTGGATGTGTATTTGACACTGCATCATCCTCTAAACATAGAGCTATGCCAGGGCTGCTCAGCCATCCCTCATTCATACAGTTCAGTCTGAGGGTGAGAACTAACCTAACCTGTCACAGCTTAAACACCAATAGGACTGCCTTTCAATATGGTGAAAAGTCCAACTCTGGCCAAAACAGTTTTTTCCGTCTTGGATACCATGGGAAAAAGTTAGACCTTTTGTAGGTTTTGTTGCTGTCTTTTTGACCTTGCTGGAGGTGATTATTTTTTTTATGTCGCTGTGATACAAGTGAATTGAGGGGAAGTGGTGTCACCCAGAGCAATAGAAAAATTGGCAGAGGTCCCAGTCCTTCCCTCACTCTGTCCACATTTGAAGCTTGGTGCACTTGTGTATAGAAAACACACTGAGTCAGGGGTAGACCACTCCGGCACTTGAGCTGTGGCTAAACAGAAAATCCCATCATGCCTCTGTGAGTCATGCCTGAGGCTGCCAGAGTCTTTCAATGCCTCATGGGATTTGTAGTTCCACAACAGCTGGAGTGCCGAGGTTGCCTAGCCATGCCAAAGGGATCTAGTTATAACAGCTTTCACCCAAGATCAACACATTTTACTTGGCTTTAGTGTCTGAATCTTAGGTGAAAGTAGTGTGAAAAAATAAAGAC